GTCTGGGCTGGGATGAAGGCTATCACTGGCTTCAAAGGGAGAGACAGACTGACTGTGGGCACCCTGGAAAGGGCCAACGAGCTGAACACCTTCTTCAATAGGTTTAGCTCTCCGCCCGCTGCTGTCTCCTCCACTTCCTCTTCTCACCTCACCTCCTCCTCTCAGCCTGGCGTCAACATCCCCCCTCTGCTCACCACCTACACTTCACACCTCTCCTCCACCACCCAGCCTGGCTTCTGCACCCCCCCTCTGCTCACATTGCCGCTGACCCCCCCCCCCCTCTGCTCATCTTGCCTCAGACCCCCCCCCTCTATCCCCCCTGCCATCAAGCCCCCCCCCCCGCTTTACTGTGAGCACAGGACAGGTCCAGAGTCAGATGGAAAAACTCCACCAAGGCAAGGCTGCTGGCCCTGATGGTATCAGCCCCAGGGTCCTGAGGACCTGTGCACGCCAGCTGGCTCCTGTTCTCCAGTATATATTCAACCTGAGCCTGCACCTGGAGACCATCCCGGTGCTGTGGAAGACATCATGCGTTGTTCCGGTCCCTAAAAAGACAACTCCTTCTGGGCTCAATGACTATCGCCCTGTAGCACTCACATCTCATGTGATGAAGGTGCTTGAGAGACTGGTCTTGGCCCATCTCAGACCGCAGGTGAGATCATTCCTTGACCCTCTGCAATTTGCCTACCAGCCTCACCTGGGGGTGGACGATGCCATTATTTACCTGCTGCAGCGTGCTCACTCATACCTGAATGGATCGGGTTGCACTGTGAGAATCACCTTTTTTGATTTCTCCAGTGCATTCAACACGATCCAGCCTCGGCTACTGAGTGACAAGCTGCAGGCTATGAGGGTAAACTCGTCCACCATCTCCTGGATTACCAACTACCTCACGGACAGACCACAGTACGTCCGGCTGGGCAGTGTGCTGTCTGATGTGGTGGTTGGTAGTATTGGAGCCCCACAGGGGACTGTGCTGTCTCCTTTCCTGTTCACCTTATACACCTCTGACTTTCTATACAACTCAGAGTCATGCCACCTGCAGAAGTTTTTGGATGACTCTGCAGTGGTAGGGTGTATAAGGGATGGACGGGAGGAGGAGTACAGAGCGCTGGTGGGTGATTTTGTTGAGTGGACTGGAAGAAATCATCTGCTTTTGAATGTGGCCAAGACCAGAGAGATGGTCATTGATTTCAGGAGGAAGAGGACATCTCCTCCTCTGCCCCTGTGCATTCTGGGAGAGGATGTGGCAGTTGTGGAGGTCTACAAGTACCTGGGAGTGCACTTAGACAATGGGCTGAACTGGAGGATCAACACTGACGCTGTGTACAAGAAGGGGATGAGCCGACTATTTTCTGAGGAAGCTGAGATCCTTCAACGTATGCAGTAAGATGCTGGAGATCTTCTATCAGTCTGTTGTGGCTAGTGCACTCTTCTTTGCTGCAGTCTGCTGGGGGGGCAGCATCAGAGCCGGTGACACCAGCAGGATCAATAAACTGATCAGGAAAGCTGGGTCAGTCATCGGCATCAAGCTGGAACCCTTTGAAGCTGTGGTGGAGAGGAGGACACTGAACAGGCTGTTGTCCATCATGGATAACCCCACCCATCCTCTCCACCTGCAGCTGGACAGTCAACGGAGCTCCTTCTCCAACAGACTGCTGCAGCTCCCCTGTCACAAGGACCGATACTGGAAAACATTCCTGCCCACTGCAATAACACTGTACAACAAATCACCTCTGGCTGGAAGAGAACTCTCTGCTCCATAGTTTCTCTAGAAATAAAACCACCTTGTATATTTTACTCACACATAATCTGTTTCATATTTAATACTCCATAATTCCATATATTTTGAATATATATATATTTGTATATATATATATATATATATAATATCTGTATGTATATTTTCTATTTTGTATTTTGACATGTATATTTTATATTTTATTTTATATTTTATTTTATTTTATTTCTATTCTTGTATATTTTGTTTTATTGTAAAATGCCTTTTATGCTGCTGTAACAAAAACAATTTCCCAATTTGGGATCAATAAAGTACGATCTATCTATCTATCTATCAATGAGAAGCGAAACGGTTGCTTGAGACTAGGCTTGTTTGAGACGAGCTGCGGCTCACCTCGAAAGTAGACGAGAATAGCCGATCGCAGCCAGGGGAGGTCTCAAAAAGCTTGCCTGAAGTCGGACAGCTCGGAGTCGGCTTCTTCTTCTTCTTCTTCTCTCGTTTTTTTGGCGGATTGCAAACAACTTTAAGGTGCATTCCGCCACCTCCGGAATCGGCTTGACTCGGTTTGCATTTATAAAGAATGCACAAATGTGTTTAATCGTTAATGTCAGATATCTAAGTAAATACATTTGTTCCTGCTCAAGATTAGATTCAACTTTATTGTTATTGCACATATTACAGGTACTGAGACAACGAAATGCAGTTTAGCTTCTAACCAGGATTGCAAAAAGCAGTAAAGTGAAAAGTAATGTACACAATCTACAGAATAAAATATAGAATGAATTGAATGATGAATAAACAGTGAGGGGTATGAATACACCAGATATACACAGCAGCCTGTGAGCAGTATGAACAGTGTGTATGAATATGCTAAGATATATAAAGTATGAAAACGGTAAGCAGTGCAAGTATAGTATAACAATATATAGATATTAATTTCATGATGATAAACATTGTGGAACAATGATGAAAAATGTGAATGGAAGTGGCGACGTAAAACTGACACTAAACAACAACAAACTTGTGCCGAGCCAATGGAGAGTTTCATCACCAGCACAGGGTAAAAACCACCAATGAGCGCTCAGCTCGAGATACCAGCGAGTCGTTTCCCATCAAGCATTTCGCTTCCGCAGCCCGTGGAGAGAAACTGCACCGCCTCGCCTCGCTCTCAAGTCTGCAGGCTTCTTTGTCCCGCGAGATTTCAACGTCTCATGTAGGCGAGCCTCCAGAGCAAGTCGGACAAAATGACTAACCATCATGCAACGCACTAGCAAGACGGCGATCGCAATTGTGCAGGTCTGCGTCGGTCTCGCTCGTCTCAAACAAGCCTAATGTCTTCCACAAGCAACACTCCAATGGCTGATAGCTCCAGTACTGCACGAAACATGTTTTCGATGGACGAGAGTGAAAATGGAACGCACAAACTATTTGAGTTCAGTAAAGTTAGAACGATATTGTCAGATTCGGATTTCATGGATCAATAACTGATGAACAAAACGTTATTCAGACACAAATTACGTCTCCTAAGTACCGTGGTAAGGTTGACAACGAACTACAATCACATGTTGATCAAAAAAAGCCAATATGCGCCGTCCTCCGAGCTGGACACATAAATTGGTCTCTTTCCGCAGCCGGAGAAGAAACGAGTGCTCAGGGACCGTCTGCAAAGTGCAACTCATTTTCAATCACTTCACTATTATACAGTATATTTCTACCAAAATCACTAAACACATCAATACCTTCTGGTGGTCCTACTACAGTAGAGGGTTTGGAAGAATATGGTTTTAAATAATTTTGGTGAATATTTATAATGTAAAATCTTCAATAAATATGGCATCATCTTCAATAACGTTACTATTGTACAGTATATTTCTACCAAACTCACTACACACATCAATAGTCTTCTGGTGGTCCTACTACGGCAGAGAGCTTGGAAGAATATGGTTTTAAATAATTTTGGTGAATATTTATAATGTAAAATCTTCAATAAATATGGCATCATCTTCAATAACGTTACTAGTGTAGAGTATATTTCTACCAAACTCACTACACACATCAATAGTGTCCTGGTGGTCCTACTACAGCAAGAAGTTTGGAAGAATGTGCTTTTGATTAATTTTGGTGAATATTTATAATGTAAAATATTCAATAAATATTGCATCATCTCCAATAACTTTACTATTGTACAGTATATTTCTACCAAACTCACTACACACATCAATAGTCTCCTGGTGGTCATACTACAGCAGAGAGTTTGGAAGAATATGCTTTTGAATAAGTTTGGTGAATATTTTATACAGTGGAGTGCTACCAAACTCACCTCAGACATTAATGGTCTCTAACTTGCTACACTACAAAAGTGTATTTGAAAACTTATTTTAATGATCGTTATGTTATTTTAAAATAAAGTGTATTGGTAAGTATAAGTTACTGTCAAACAGGAGACCCCTTAATTTGAACCAGAAGCTATTAAAATGTAACTCAAAAGAAGATCTCCTATTTATTCATAAACCATAACACTGTTTTATTGTTCTTTCATTAATTAACTTACAGACTGAATATATACATGGTATCACCTACTGTACATCAAAGCAAGATCCATCAAAAGTAGAACAGTCTTTTAATCATCAATAAACTAGACATCACACACATTGATATATACATATATATATATGTTACACATTGTATATACACTATGTTATATATAAATTAAGACATGAAACAACTTTTTCATTAGCTATGAAACAGTAAAATAAAGTTAAAATTGAAAAATAAAACATTTCAGGCTTTTCACCTATCTTACTGTACAATATTAATGAACAAATCTACAATGTAATGTCTGACATGGAAAACATCATGAACATCTGTGACTAATTTAATCTGTAAGGGAAAATATATTTAATATCTTAATTAAGAATATAACAATTTAAAACTATGGACAGGTGATTATTAATCATTACTTCAGTTGCCCAAAATCTTTAGCAAAGCTTTTTTCTGGATTTTTGTTTGTTTTGTACAAAATTCAGCTTTCATTTTGCCGATTTGAAATCACTGGCTAGGCTGGATTTCCCCCCACATGCCGTTTATAAGCGCACTAGTTCTATTGTGGTAGTAGTTCTAACTACAAGCCTTACCTCCCCAAATCCTGGTACCTCTGGTAAAAGTTACACAAACTCTTACATAGCCTCTTTAGTTAGGGATGATACACAACACACAATACCACGGGTTATCTTTTTTTGGTATTAGTGCAGCAGTTATTCCGAGGCACTGCGTGTGAAACCATCTTCCACAAGTTTCACACTGAATCTACATGGGGATAAATACAACAAAGATATTAAGAAAATGTCAAGTGTAGGACACTTGTAAAGCAGGCATATTCATTTATATTTTATAGAGATTATACTTTTTTTTTTTAATATAAATACTTGTTGTTATTCAGGTTTATCTGTACTGTGCTAAAACTTTAACACATTTTAAGAAAAACAAAAGGAAACCTGTAATGCATAAAAATATACAAAATGTCATTACTTTTATGTTATTCCTGAAATCTAACTCCAGATGATCTATATAGTATGTATTATTCAGATTATCTTCTGGAGTTTCAAAACAATTCATCATTTATTCTCACCCAAACAGCATCAACAGCAGTTGTGGGCAGGTCCTCAATTCCACAGAAGGAACAGAAGTCATCCTTTGAAACTGAAAAAATAACAGGTGTATTACTGTTCAATTTACAGGAAGGGATCCATATATTCATTTAATATTTTTGGCTAATACCTGATCCTTTGAGAATTTCTTCTGCCATGTCTCTTCGTAGATTTTGAAGAGATTGTTTTGATGAGTTGATGTGAAATGTCTGTGGTATTTTCGGAAATTCCTTCACTGTCATCTTGGCCATCTGGACAGATGGTAAAAATAACATGACGTTATGACGTGTGTTTGAATTTCCCTTTAAAATAAAATGCTTTATTATTAATGAACACAACATGTTGCATTGAATCACCTGCATGACAAAGGCTCCACAACTGGTGGCATCTTTCTGGAAGGTGTGGGTTATCTTTCCAGGCTGCCATTTAATGTTAACCCAGTCCTCTTTTCCCAGTCTGTTCCGGCGCATCTTGAAATACTCTCTATAGAACAATAGGAACATTTTTTACATTTGCGCTTGCTCTTTGCCTTTACCAAATGTGCGTTTAACCAATGTATTTCCTGTAATATATTTTATATTACCCAAATTTGTAACCAGCCTTTCTGGAGTCCTCAACTTCATTTGACCCTTGCAGAGGATCAACCACATAAATGTGGTTTGAAAGGGCATGGAGGTACTGTTTTAAAAAGTAGCATACCGTATAATTAAACCAAACCTTTTTGAATATGTCAGCAGTAACAATAATGTATCAGCTTTTCTTCAAAAATGAAAACCACAGTTAACTAATAGATTCACATTATAAAAATCCCTTCAACTGTTAGAAAAGCTATTAAAAGTAATACTAAAAGGACTTCCGGTGAGCAAGGCGAGTGAGATGGCTGCTTAATTTTTAGCTCTCGATAGCGATTGGAAATCAACCCCCTTAACTCGCCAAATAATATACAAATCGATGTAATTTTATTGGAATGAGAGGGGGAAAGAGAACTAGAAGTCAAAAGAAAGGTGACAAACTAGAAAGACAGAATTCACCGGAGATGGAAGATGCTCAAAGCTCCGTTAGCTCCGTTAGCTCACAACAGGACTCGGCAGACACCATGCGCTCAGTGCTCCAGGAAATACGCGATTTCAGGGCTGAGCATAAAGTGGACTTAAACAAACTTAAAGAAGAAATCAAGGGGGACATGAAATCTGAACTCGAAGATATGAAGCAGGAAATTTACCAAAAACTTTCTGCTAACTCCGCGCTAACCCAGGCCCACGAAACTAGGCTGAAAGAAGCGGAGGAACGAATCGATGAGGCGGAGACAGTAAACATGGCTCTGTCAGATGCGTTGATTAAATCAATGAAAGAACAGAGAGCCATGCAGGGGAAACTGGTGGATTTGGAAGGTCGATCCAGGAGAAATAATATGCGCATTTATGGAGTACCCGAAGAGAAGGAAGGTAACTCCATGTCTGACTTTGTGGATCAACTTTTGAAAACTGAACTCGCTTTACCGGACACCAACCTACAGATACAACGCGCCCATAGAGCTGTGGCTCGCAAACCGGAAAGGAATGCACCGCCAAGGTCCATAGTGGTGAACTTTCTGGAGTTTAACACCAAAGAAAGGGTACTGAAAAAGGCCTGGGAAAAAAAGATACTGATGGAAGGGCGACGTCTATCGTTCGATCACGACTATGCAACGGAGGTCGTCCTGAAGCGCAAGGCGTACGTGGGAATAAAGAGGGTCCTTAAAGAGAAAAATATACGTTTTCAGACACCTATTGACAGGATGCGTATTCACTGGGACTCGGGAACACGCACATACGACAGTGCGCAAGATGCAGCGCAGGAGCTGAGGAGGAGAGGTTTCTCCGTGGAGATACCAGACCGCAACGCTTCGGAGCTGTACCCGGAGATGGAGCGTCTCCACCAGACCAAGACATGGCAGCGCGTCGGAGAGAGTAGTGCAGGTGGGGACGAGACCGCGAGCAGAGTAAGGAAGAGGCTACAAGAGTATGAGCGGATCCCTCCCGGGACTAACTGATTCATATTATATATTCACTGTATATATTTGTCACGACTTCATTTGGATTATATAAATGCTATCAGATGCTGTTGGACTACTAGGATGCGTGAGACTGCGTGTTTCACCTCTAGTGAGGGGCCCTTCAGGAGGAGGCTCTCCCCTCTACCTGCCAACGGGGACTTAGGGTGGCGAGGAATCACCCTACCTTGGAAGTCTACGTTTTTCTTTTTACGTTCTACGTTCACTACATGTGGGCCAGATGTTCAGGTCTGTGTAGTTTTCAGTTGTCTGGAGTTTTGTGAATGCAAAGGATTGGGTAATTTAAATGCCGTACAATAATATAAAAGTGGTGTCACTTAATGTAAATGGGATGAATAATCCAGTTAAAGGAGCAAGGTCCTGGCTAAATTGAAAAAAGAAAAGGCCCAAGTACTATTTTTACAAGAAACTCATCTGCCTCAACAGGAGCATGAAAAATTAAAACGCTTTGGTTTTAAAAATACGTTCTATAGTTCTTACAAACCTAGCCAGAAGAGGGGAGTGGCTATCCTTATTTCAAATGCAGTTCAATTTGAACTCCATAAAGAAGTTAGGGACAAAGAGGGACGATATATATTAGTGAAAGGAAAGCTTGAAAATGCAGTGGTGACATTGGTCAATGTATATGCCCCCCCAGAGAGTAACAAATCTATTTTTAAAAATCTGTTTGACGTCATTGCATTAGAGACTGAGGGTATTTTGATATGTGGAGGGGATTTTAATGTGGTCCTGAATCATACCATAGACACTACAAGTCACAAAAATAGCAAGAAGCACCTGACCAAGTTTGTTAATGCGTCAGTGCAGGAAATGGGACTAATTGATATTTGGAGGGAACTTCACCCCCTAGAACGGGATTATACACACTATTCAGTGCCCCATTCTGTGTACTCCAGAATTGACTACTTTTTAATAAATACGGGTGAAAGTCACAGGATCACAGAGAGTAAAATCGGGGTGGCAGATGTTTCGGATCATAATATGATTAGCTTGTCAATAAATCTGAACAGTAGACAAAAGAATACAGTGTGGAGGCTCAATGTGGGTGTTTTGAATGATAAGGCGACCGTGGAACAGTTAAGGGAAGAGATACAAATATATATAGAGGAGAATGATAATGGGGATGTGGACCCTGGGATACTGTGGGATGCTTTGAAGGCTGTTCTCCGTGGAAAGCTGATCGCCCTAACAGCATCACAAAAAAAGGCCCGGCTAGCCACATACAAATACAAAATAGAAAAATTGAGAGAAATGGAGACAAAACATAAGAGTACAGGGGATCAATCGGCATTACAACAAATTAAGGAAACAAGGGGGGAGATAAATGAGATCCTTAGAGGAGAAATAGAAAAAAAGGCAAGGTTTTTAAAGCAGTCTTATTATGAATCAGGCTCAAAAGCAGCTAGACTCCTGGCTAGACGCCTGCGCAAACAGCAAGCCTCTAATACAATTCATAGAACAAGGGACCCCCAAACTAACCAACTACTATATGAGCCAGATGAGATAGAAAGAATATTTGAAGAATACTATAAGACACTCTACTCTAATCCACCATTAGCTGATGAAAGCACAATAAGAAACTTTCTTAACTCTCTTGATCTGCCATCTATAGGTGAGATACAGAATGACACCATTACGTCGCAATTTACAGTTGAAGAGTTGGAAGCTGCAATCAGTAGGCTAAAGACCAGTAAATCACCGGGCAGCGATGGGTTCCCACCAGAGTTCTATAAAACTTTCACGAAGGAGCTAACACCTCTGCTTCTGTCTTGTTTTAATTGGACTCTTAAAGAAGGCAGGGCTCCCCCATCTTGGAGGGAAGCAATTATTTCCATTTTGCCTAAGGAAGGCAAAGACAAAGACCACTGTAAAAATTATAGGCCAATTTCTCTTTTAAATGTGGACTACAAGCTGTTTACCTCAATTATCTGTAAAAGATTTGAGACTTTTATGCAAGATCTTATTCATGAAGATCAAACTGGTTTCATTAGAGGACGCCAAACACAAGACAATATCAGAAGGACTCTCCATATCGTAGACAATGCGCATAAAAAGGGCACGAGTATGGTTCTGGTTAGTCTGGACGCAGAAAAAGCGTTTGACAGTGTCAGTTGGTCTTTTTTATATGAAGTACTAAGGAGGTTTGGTTTAAATGAAAATGCAATTCGGTGTATTAAGACTATTTATCACGAACCTACGGCTAGGATCAAAGTAAATGGGAGTTTGTCCAATAGGATTCAGCTGGAGAGAGGCTCTAGACAGGGTTGCTGTCTCTCTCCTACTCTCTTTGCTTTATTTGTTGAACCATTGGCGCAAGCAATAAGGCAGAGTGAAGACCTGCAGGGTGTCAATATAGGGGGGGAAGATCATATCATTGGGCTTTTTGCGGATGATGTTATAGTTTTCCTTGAGCAACCAGATGTATGTTTCCCAAACCTGATGAACCTACTCGACACATATGGTTACTATTCAGGGTATAAAGTGAACGTAACAAAAACTCAAATTCTCTCATTCAATTATTCCCCATCCCAACAAATTAGACATGCATATAACCTACAATGGAATTCCAAAACAATGACTTATCTTGGTGTAACTATAACCAAAACATTTTCCAACCTGTTTGAAGCCAATTATAACAAAATTGATGACAATATCCGAAAGGATGTAGAAAGGTGGTCCACCCTCCCTTTAGACTTCAGTGCCAGAATACAAACGGTTAAAATGAATATCCTACCTAGGCTGCTGTATTTTTTTTCAGTCTCTTCCAATTGATGTTCCCCAAAAAAAATTCATAACCTGGGACAGGATGATTTCTAGATTTGTTTGGAATAGTAAAAAACCAAGAATACGATTTACGACACTTCAGTTGCCTAAAAGTAAGGGGGGAATGGCTTTACCAAATCTTAGGGAATACTTCTATGCAGCCCAACTCAGACCTTTGGCCTACTGGTGTAGACCAGATTATGAGTCTGGATGGAAAGCCATGGAAAGGGAGGTACAGGGTCACCACATTCAGGCCTTGGTAGGAGATAGGAATTTGGTGAAGGCTCTGAGAGGTGAAATTAATACGATAGTTGCGTTTACACTAGAGGTCTGGAATGTTGTAGTAGCAAAATACAAATTAAAGAGAGGGATACGCACGCTG